GAATGGTGAATTAACGAATGGTTTATGTAAAAATTGGATAGAGTATTACTGAGCTTTATCTTCTAATGTCTGAGGTTTGGGTAATGTAAATTGATTCGAAAATATGAAAAAAAAGAGGTTTATCTACACGAAAAAATTAGATATAAATGCCACCAAAAGCAGATTGACATGAAAAATCCGGAGAGTAAAGGTTGAAATGGATTCTAAGAAAGGTAGAATAATTAAAAAGATTAATAACAACTTGGAATGAGCGATAAAATAAGGTATACAAAGGAATGGGACGAATGAAACTGAGGGTAGACTAATGTAGATTTAGGTTAAATTATTATCATGTTAAGGAAAGAAAGGTATTCTGGATAGAATGATGTTAAAAGTGTAGATTAAGGCTTATTTACGAAAGGTGTGATTGATATTCTCAGTAGATTAAGTTGAATGACTTATCTATGCGTGATATTTAAGGTAGTTTAAGACGAAAGTTGTATCCTTGGTTAAAACCTGTAAATTATGATATTCTAATAATAATAATAATAATAATAATAATTTAGCTTAATTCCATTTGGTTACAATGGGTATTCTTGGTGTGACATATTGTGTGTGACATATCGCTGCACCACATAAGGATGGGTTATATTTCTGGTACATTAGAATGAGAGTTATATTTCTTAGTGATATAAGGTGAAGGAGTACTTTGTAAACTGAAGACGGATGAATTGTTTATCAAGGACTGTTGTGGATGATAATATGGGCAGACTGAGGTATAAGTATTAGTTGCGAAAGGTGTAAATGATCAACATGTGTAAATTGGAATGAAAGGTTTATTTACGAAATATATGGATGCTAGCATGGGTATATTAAAGCGAAAGGTGTATCAATATCAACGGTAAATGAGATAACATTATATAAATTATTGCGGGTAGAATAAAGGGAACGGCTTATGTATGAGGTAAAACTTATATCTACGGGATATAAAATTAGTAATCTGGGTAGACTAAGGTAAAATATATACCATAATCTTACTAACTATGAAAGTTATAATCACTCAACCGTATACTAAAGATAAAATGATATAAAAGTTTGGATAATAGTTCGGGGAAATTAATGAAAGACTGAACAAAAATACTAAAGGCAAAAACACAGGTAATACAGACGATACATAAAGGAATCTAGGTAGAGAAAATACAAAGCATAGAATAAAGTACCAAACTACGAAACAAAACAATGTGCAGTATCAGTCATGTTCTGGCATCAGTTCGAGAGGCGGAATAAATTAAGGTATTTAAGGACTTAGTGCCCATTGGAGGACTGATAAACACGTAGTTAAGAACGACGGAAGATATAAATAACACCTTTAGTAAAAAGAAACAGGGTACGAGAGACACACTGAAATATAAGGGTAATAAATGTAAGATACTGATGCTATCCTGGGGTTGAATACCGTGATATATCTCGGTGAATTGATTGGAGAAGTTGAATAATGAATGGTATGAAACAGAGCAGGTATAAATTGTAGTAGAACAGAATACGGGACATGAGAAAGATACGTTTAAATTGATTGGGGTTTTGAGGAATATAAATTAGTCGAGGGTTAAAAAAAGATAAAAAGATCGATGACTTAAATGAAAAGTTTGTTGAATTAAATAGAAAGATTGGCAATTTTGATATAAAGCGAGTCGGTAGTTTTATCACATTTCATGAATGGTAGAACGAGAGGTATTTTTCAGATTATACTTTTGCACAAAAAAAATTAGCACACAATTGGTATAAGATGCTTGAAAACGTAAAATAATTATGTACATGAGTGGCGTCTTTGAAGATTTGGAACAGGTATATCATAAAATCTAAAACGAAAAAAAATGTTGTAACTGTTTTTGGGGAGAATTCTATAGAAAACTATAAATAATGCACTGGGTCGTATGGGAAGTTTCTGCTCTTCTCTCTTGAATTCATATACTCTTCCAATTCTTTTTTTTTTTTTTTAATCTACGAAATTCTCATCTTGAACTACGAATAAATAGTGTAAAGTGTGAATGAGATAATCCCACAGTAAATAGAAAATAAAATTATGAAATTCCAATGAAAAATTCCACGTGACATCAACGTCACATCAAAACATGACACTGATTACGAAAACGTAAGAAAGTAAATCAGATAAACTCATATTAGTTGTATAATAATGACATAAAGATTCAAACTCGCTCTGACTCTAGGCAAGTTGATGTAATTATACTGCAAATCGCATTATGCAGGCGATGATTATATTAATGAACATATAACCCTATTTTGCACGTAGTCGAGGAGAACCTTGGTTATCAAATTACGAAAATATGATTTGGAAATTGGTTGGGGGGGGGGGGAATCAGATGAAATGTGGGTCACGGAACTAATTCGGGTTCAATGGCGTGAAATACAAATTGTTAGAGAGAGTGGAGAGAGGAGAAAGGAGAGGGGAGAAAGGGTGAGTGAGAGAGAGAGAGAGAGAGAGAGAGAGAGAGAGAGAGAGAGAGAGAGAGAGAGAGAGAGAGAGAGAGAGAGAGAGAGAGAGAGAGAGAGACAGAGAGAGAGACAGAGAGAGAGAGAGAGAGAGAGAGAGAGAGAGAGAGAGAGAGAGAGAGAGAGAGAGAGAGAGAGAGAGAGAGAGAGAGAGAGAGAGAGAGAGAGAGAGAGAGAGAGAGAAAGAAGGAGAGAGAGAGAGAAAGAAGGAGAGAGAGGGAGAAAAGAAGAGAAGAGAGAGAAGAAGAGAGGAGAAGAGGAGAAGAGAAGAGAAGAGTAGAGAAGAAGAGAAGAGTAGAGAAGAAGAGAAGAATAGAAGAGAGGGAGAGAGGGAGAGAGGAAGAGAGGAAGAGAGGAAAAGAGAGAGAGAGAAGAAGAGAGAGAGAGAAGAAGAGAGAGAGAGAAGAAGAGAGGAGAAGAAGAGAGGAGAAGAAGAAAAGAGAAGAGAAGAAGAGAAGAAGAGAAGAAGAGAAGAAGAAAAGAAAGGGAGAGAGAGAGAGAGAGAGAGAGAGAGAGAGAGAGAGAGAGAGAGAGAGAGAGAGAGAGAGAGAGAGAGAGAGAGAGAGAGAGAGAGAGAGAGAGAGAGGAAGAGAGGAAGAGAGGAAGAGAGGAAGAGAGGAAGAGAGGAAGAGAGGAAGAGAGGAAGAGAGGAAGAGAGGAAGAGAGGAAGAGAGGAAAAGAGAGAGAGAGAGGGTGTAAAAACGTCATGGTTAATTTGAGAACGAAAAACTAAAGTTGACCTTTCATCGTACAAAAGAAAAGAAAACATTTTCTGTCATTTTGAATATATATTTTTAAATGTTTTACAGTGAGGTAAGAGGAATTTTGCACTGCAATATTTCCAATGAACGTATTTTTTTTTAAGATTCGCGAAGCAGAGCCTCGCCCGGGCTATGCCTATTTGGGGAGCCCGGTGAACGTATTCAATAACATTTGAAGTTAAGTAAATGAATAAATGCAGTTGATAGATGATACAGGGATTATATACTAAATAGGAATTATTGATGTAAAGGTTGAAGTAAACAGCTTGGAGACGTATTTTATATTTATTTATTTATTTATTACAAAAATGGATTAGACGAGAATGGTGAAATGAAGTACTCTGTCTTACCATTATCATTACAGTGCTATAGGACTTCGATTTCTAGAACATTTAATTGTTTTAATTGTTAAGCATTACCATTACCATTATTATTGTTACTGTTGTTCTTGTTGCTGTTTATATTATTAAAAGATACGGCGCCAGAAAATGACATGTTTGAGAGAGAGAGAGAGAGAGAGAGAGAGAGAGAGAGAGAGAGAGAGAGAGAGAGAGAGAGAGAGAGAGAGAGAGAGAGAGAGAGAGAGAGAGAGAGAGAGAGAGAGAGTATATATATATATATATATATATATATATATATATATATATATATATATATATATATATATATATATGTATGTATATATATATATATATATATATATATATATATATATATATATATATATATATATATATATATATATATATATATATGCACGTCTGTGAATGCTTATCAGTAGAGGAAAGTCAGATTTACATTTTTTTTATGATATGAATTTTCTTTACGGTAAATAAAAGAGAGAAAACAACGATAGTGGAGAACGATAGAATAATGTATAGCGATGAAAATATAGCATAATACATATAATCTTAAAAAAATCTTGTTGAAAGATTCTTCTTAATAAACATAGTAATTAACTGAGAGAAAATTTATTAACAAATAGTGTTATTTATCTATCTACAAAGTTTGTTTGTTTACAATGATGTGTACTGTCTATCTACTATCAACTATATATTTACATCTATTTGTCTGTCTAATTACTTATCTGTGTCTCTCGATCTATAAGATAGCTCCCTATCTCTTTGATTACCTGTCTATCTATCCAATTAACCATTCATATTTCTATCTATCTAAATAACCATTCATACTTCTGTCTATCTACCTACCTTCATCTATCTGTGCATTAATGTACCTCCCTTATATCTATCTAATCCGTAACGCTTAACCTGAAATGAAAAACCTCTATATTATATTTTTTTCCCTCGAGTACACTTAATATTTTCTTTGACACGTCATTTAATAAGGTTTTTGATACCCGTAGCAAAATATAATTAAGGTCTAATTAACAAGCTCATACCTGGCCCGATGGCATGGTAATTCTATGCAAATTATGATGATGAAAAGGGTACAAGAAGGTCTGGTGTAAAAAGGGAGGGAGAGGATATGATTTCAGTCAAAAATTAAGAAGGTAAGAAGTGAAAAATTGTAAATGATAGAAAGAATTTTCTTCGAAATGGTTAGGGAAACTTATTGTAAGAATTGTGAAGATATGAGAGAGAGAGAGAGAGAGAGAGAGAGAGAGAAAGAGAAAGGAGAAGAGAAAGAGAAAGAGAAGAGAAAGAGAAAGAGAAAGAGAAGAGAAAGAGAAAGAGAAAGAGAAGAGAAAGAGAAAGAGAAGAGAAAGAGAAAGAGAGAGAGAGAGAGAGAAAGAGAAAGAGAGAGAGAGAGAGGGGGGGGGAGGAAAGATAAGAGATGAGAGATGAGAAGAGAGAGAGAAAAGAACAGGGGAAGAGGGGAAGAAGCGAGAGAAATATACATCAGAGGCAGAGAAAGGAATGAAAGAAAGGAACATGCAAAAAAAAAAAAAAAAAAAAAGACAAGAAAGATCGGGAAAAGAGGATAGAAAGAAAACAGAAAACGGAAAAGAAAGTGACTTTACCATCAGTAGACGATGGTCGGATTAGCCAGCATTAATAACAAATAATAAGATGAAAGATAAAAAGATAAAGTACGAATGGCCCTTCCCCATCCCCCCCCCTCCCAGATAGCGTAATAAAGTGTCGTTTTGGGTAGAAATTCCGAGAGAAAAGGTTATTTTCTGTGATAATCAAGGGTACGTTTTAAGGTGTGGCCATTTAGAGGAGTAACATTTATAAAAAAGACGGAGTGGACGATGTTTTATAAGGAAAGATGTAGATATGACTTAGAGAACAATGGGAGTTTTTCATATTTGGGGGTTAAAAGAAGAAGAAAATAAAAGGTAGAATACTGAATAGTAGAAATACTGAAAGTAGATTAGTGATGAATGGCAATTTTCATATCTATGTGGGATATTATATTCTGGAATTTATCGGGAATACAAAAAGTTAACATGATCTGAAAACATTACAAATATTATTTCCTATATAATTTATCAAAATGCGATGAAAGCGTTGAAATGTTCAATTATAATATAAAACGAGGAAATTATTTAGCAAGGGGAATGACAAACAACGATTGAAATCTGTTTCGGTATCATTACAAATTAAAAGAACCATTATTAAGGGCAACGTGGAAAAACAACAAAAACTAAATAAAGCTAAAGAGAAAAGAAAAATTGGAATACAATTACGGCAGAATAATAATAATAATAAAAAAAAAATCATGTAAATTAAGCCATTAGGAAAACTTTGGGAGAACAACAGGAGTAACTTTTTTCTAATTACTTAATTTTCGTTTTCTATGCTATTAGTATTATTACTGCTATTGCTGTTACCATTACTATATTATTACTATTGCTATTACGATTATCATTATCATTGTTATTATTATTATTATTGCTATTATTATTATTATTATTATTATTATTATTATCATTATTATTATTATTATTATTATTATTATTATTATTATCATCCCGGTATTATTTTCAATATGATTATCATTATCATTATCATCGCTATTATCATCACTACCATTACTGCTACTATAATTTTCTTAAAAAAATGGTTGCTAAAAATCATGGTAATATGAAAGGTTTCGATAATGAAAATGGTAATATTGTGATGTATTTCGCTGACAAAAATGGTAGTGCTATGAAAGACTTTAGTAAAAAAAATGGCACTATTAATGGTAATATGAAAGGTTTCGTTGATAAAATGGTAGAATAACGAAAGGTCTTAATAACATATTTATATATTATGGAAGTTTTGGTCTGTAAAACTGGTAACAGTATGAAAGGTTTCGATAACGAAAATGGTAACAGTATGAAAGGTTTCTATAATGAAAATGGTAACTATATCAAAGGTATCGATAACGAAAATGGTAACAGTATGAAAGGTTTCGATTACGAAAATGGTAACTATATCAAAGGTATCGATAACGAAAATGGTAACAGTATGAAAGGTTTCGATTACGAAAATGGTAACTATATCAAAGGTATCGATAACGAAAATGGTAACAGTATGAAAGGTTTCGATTACGAAAATGGTAACTATATCAAAGGTATCGATAACGAAAATGGTAACAGTATGAAAGGTTTCGATAACGAAAATGGTAACAGTATGAAAGGTTTCGATAACGAAATGGTAACAGTATGAAAGGTTTCGATAACGAAAATGGTAACAGTATGAAAGGTTTCGATAACGAAAATGGTAACAGTATGAAAGGTTTCGATAATGAACATGGTAACTATATCAAAGGTTTCGATAACGAAAATGGTAACAGTATGCAAGGTTTCGATAATAAACATGGTAACAAAATGAAAGGTTCGTCAATAAAATGATAGTATAACGAAAGGTCTCGGTAACAAAACCCATTGCATTATGAAAGGTTTGGTTCATGGAAATGGTAGCATGAAAGATTTCGTGATAATCATGAAGACATAATATGAAATAATAGATAACTAATAACAGATATTATAGAATTATGAATGGTTTCACTAATGAAAATGGTATGAAAGATTTTGCTAGTATGGAAGGTTTGTGTTAAGGTATCTGAAGAAATAATTAAATAACGAAAATGTTTCTAAAATTGGTAGTATTTAGAAGAAAATTATTGACAAAATTCATACTATTATGAAAGGTTTTGCTGACTAAAATATTTGCATTATGATTTTTTTTTCTTTTTCTTTTTTTCTTATGAAAGGTTTCGATGGTAAAGAAGGTAATATTATGATAACAAATAGTTGCATTAAGATATTTTCTGATAAAGAGGGTAAATGAATGAAAGGTTTGATTTAAAAGAATATAGCATGAAAGGTATCTTAATAAACGTGGTAATGCGTAGGGTCTTTGATGATAAAAAAGTACTATAATGATTTTCCTACGAAAAGCATGAAAGGTTTAAATGATAAGTATGCTAGTATAATGTAAAGTTTGTCTGATGAAAATGGTAATAGTATGAACAATTTCGATAAAAAAGTAGTATTATGTAATATTTACTTCATTGATAGAAATGGTTGATAATAAATGGTATTATTACGATGAAAATAGTAGCTTGAAAGGTTACGTTGAGAAGAATGTTAGTGTCATGAAAGATTTTGATGATAAAATTCGTAGTATTATGAAAGGTTTAATTTACAAAATTGGTAGCATTATGAAAAGTGTACTTCATAGAAATTGCGGTATGAGAGGTTTTATGGTAAACATGGTAGCATTATGAAATTTTCCCTAATAATAAGGGTAACGTATTAAAAGTTCTTGTTGATACAGAGGTAACATTTGCAATAAGTTGATAAAATGGTAATACTATGATTGATATCTTTGATATAAACGGGATCATTAGGAAAGGTTTCACATTGATGAAAGCTTTCGATAACGAAAATGGTAACAGTAATACAAATGATCACAAAATGAAAGGTTCGTCAATAAAATGGTAGTATCCTTAATATGAAATAATGGATAACTAATAATAGATATTATAGAAATATGAATGATTTCACTAATGATTTTGAAAGTATGGAAGGTTTGTGTTAAGGTATCTGTAGAGATAATTAGATAACGAAAATGGTAGTATTATGAAAAGGTTGGTTGATGCATTTTTTTCGTTTCTAATTGGTAGTATTTAGAAGAAAATGATTGACAAAATTCATTCATACTATTATAAAAGGTTTTGCTGACCAAAATGGTTGCATTATGATTTTTTTTTTCTATGAAAGGTTTCGATGGAAAAGAAGGTAATATGATGAAATATTGTTGCGTATAGATTTTTTTTTTCTGATAAAGAGGGTAAATTAATGAAAGGCTTGATTATAAAAAAATATAGCATGAAAGATATCTTAATAAACATGGTAATGCGTAAGATCTCTGATGATAAAAAAGTACTATAATGATTTTCCTACAAAAAGTATGAAAGGTTTAAATGATAAGTATGCTAGTATAATGTAAAGTTTGTCTGATGAAAATGGTAACTGTATGAAAGGTTTCGATAAAAAGTGGTAGTATTATTCGTAATATTTACTTCATTGATAGAAATGGTTGATAATAAATGGTATTATTACGAAGAGTTTCCATTACATAGAATAGCTGATGAAAATAGTAGCTTTAAAGGTTTCGTTGAAAAGAATGTTAGTGTCATGAAAGATTTTGATGATAAAATTCGTTGTATTATGAAAGGTTTAGCTTACAAAAAGTTAGCATTATGAAAAGCTTAGTTCATAGAAATTGCGGTATGAGAGGTTTTATGGTAAATATTGTAGCATTATGAAATTTTCTCTAATAATAAGGGTAACGCATTAAACGTTCTTGTTGATACAGAGGTAACATTTACAATAAGTTGATGAAAGGGTGATACTATGAATGATATCTTTAATATAAACGGGATCATTAGGAAAGGTTTCACATTGATGAAAGGTTTCCATAATGAACATAGTAACAATATCAAAGCTTTCGATAACGAAAATGGTAACAGTATGAAAGGTTTGGATAATAAGCATGGTAACAAAATGAAAGGTTCGTCAATTAAATGGTAGTATCATTAATATGAAATAATGGATAACTTATGATAGATATTATAGAATTATGAATGGTTTCACTAATGAAAATGGTAAGAAAGATTTTGCTAGAATGGAAGGTTTGTGTTAAGGTATCTGTAGAGATAATTAGAACGAAAATGGTAGTATTATGAAAAGTTTGGTTGATGCATTTTTTTTCGTTTCTAAAATTGGTAATATTTAGAAAATTATTGACAAAATTCATTCATACCACTATAAAAGGTTTTGCTGACCAAAATGGTTGCATTATGAAAATGTTTTTTTTTTTTCTATGAAAGGTTTCGATGGAAAAGAAGGTAATATTATGATGAAATATTGTTGCGTACAGATTGTTTTCTGATAAAGAGGGTAAATTAATGAAAGGTTTGATTATAACAAAAATATTGCATGAAAGGTATCTTAATAAACATGGTAATGCGTAAGATCTTTGATGATAAAAAAGTACTATAATGATTTTCCTATAAAAAGTATGAAAGGTTTAAATGATAAGTATGCTAGTATAATGCAAAGTTTGTCTGATGAAAATGGTAACAGTATGAAAGGTTTCGATAAAAAGTGGTAGTATTATTCGTAATATTTACTTCATTGATAGAAATGGTTGATAATAAATTATATTATTACGAAGGGTTTCCATTACATAGAATGGCTGATGAAAATAGTAGCTTGAAAGGTTTCGTTGAGAAGAATGTTAGTGTCATGAAAGATTTTGATGATAAAAATCGTAGTATTATGAAAGGTTTAGCTCATAGAAATTGCGGTATGAGAGGTTTTATGGTAAATATGGTAGCATTATGAAATTTTCTCTAATAATAAGGGTAACGTATTAAAAGGTATTGTTGATACAGAGGTAACATTTACAATAAGTTGATGAAAGGGTGATACTATGAATGATATCTTTAATATAAACGGGATCATTAGGAAAGGTTTCACATTGATGAAAGGTTTCCATAATGAACATAGTAACAATATCAAAGCTTTCGATAACGAAAATGGTAACAGTATGAAAGGTTTGGATAATAAGCATGGTAACAAAATGAAAGGTTCGTCAATTAAATGGTAGTATCATTAATATGAAATAATGGATAACTTATGATAGATATTATAGAATTATGAATGGTTTCACTAATGAAAATGGTATGAAAGATTTTGCTAGTATGGAAGGTTTGTGTTAAGGTATCTGAAGAGATAATTAGATAACGAAAATGGTAGTATTATGAAAAGTTTGGTTGATGCATTTTTTTCGTTTCTAAAATTGGTAGTATTTAGAAGAAAATTATTGACAAAATTCATACTATTATGAAAGGTTTTGCTGACTAAAACGGTTGCATTATGAGTGTTTTTTTGAGAAGTTAATATAATGATAAAAAATGGTTGCATTAAGATATTTTCTGATGAAGAGGGTAAATGAATGGAAGGTTTGATTTAAAAGAATATAGCATGAAAGGTATCTTAAACATGGTAATGCGTAAGGTTTTTTATGATAAAATAGTACTATAATGATTTTCCTACAAAAAGTATGAAAGGTTTAAATGATAAGTATGCCAGTATAATGTAAAGTTAGTCTGATGAAAATGGGAACAGTATGAAAGGGTAGCTTACAAAAATGGTAGCATTATGAAAAGCTTAGTTCATAGAAATTGCGGTATGAGAGGTTTTATGATCAACATAGCAGCATTATGAAATTTTCCCTAATAATAAGGGTAACATATTAAAGGTTCTTGTTGATATAGAGATAACATTTACAATAAGTTGATGAAATGGTAATACTATGAATGATATCTTTAATATTAACGGGATCATTAGGAAAGGTTTCAAATTGATGAAAGGTTTCGATAATGAACATGGTAACAATATTAAAGCTTTCGATAACGAAAATGGTAACAGTATGAAAGGTTTCGATGATAAATATGGTAACAAAATGAAAGGTCCGTCAATGTAGTATTATTAATGTGAAATAATGGATAACAAATAATAGATATTATTGAATTATGAATGGTTTCACTAATGAAAATGGTATGAAAGATTTTGCTAGTATGGAAGGTTTGTGTTAAGGTATCTGAAGAGATGATTAGATAACGAAAATGGTAGTATGAATGGTAGCATTATGAAAAGTTTGGTTGATGCATTTTTTTTTTTGTTTCTAAAATTGGTAGTATTTAGAAAATGATTGATAAAATCCATACTATAATGAAAGGTTTTGCTGACTAAAACGGTTGCATTATGAGTGTTAATATTATGATAAAAAAGGGTTTCATTAAGATTTTTTTCTGATAAAGAGGGTAAATTAATGGAAGGTTTGATTTAAAAGAATATAGCATGAAAGTTCTCTTAATAAACATGGTAATGCGTAAGGTTTTTGATGATAAAATAGTACTATAATGGTTTTCCTATAAAAAGTATGAAAGGTTTAAATGATAAGTATGCCAGTATAATGTAAAGTTCGTCTGATGAAAATGGTAACAGTATTAAAGCTTTCGAAAAAAAAAAAAAATTATGTAATATTTACTTCAATGATAGAAATGGTTGATAATAAATGGTATTATTACGAAGGGTTTCCATTACATAGAATGTCTGATGAAAATAGTAGCTTGAAAGGTTTCGTTGAGAAGAATATTAGTGTCATGAAGGATTTTGATGATAAAATTCGTTGAGAGGTTTTATGATCAACATGGTAACAGTATGAAAGGTTCGTCAATAAAATGATAGTATTATTAATATGAAATAATGTATAACTAATAATAGATATTATAGAATTATGAATGGTTTCACTAATGAAAATGGTATGAAAGATTTTACTAGTATGGAAGGTTTATGTTAAGGTATCTGAAGAGTTAATTAGATAACGAAAATGGTAGTATGAAAAGTTTGGTTGATGCATTTTTTTCGTTTCTAAAATTGGTAGTATTTAGAAGAAAATTATTGACAAAATTTATTCATACTATTATAAAAGGTTTTGCTGACTAAAATGGTTGCATTATGATTTTTTTTCTATGAAAGGTTTCGATGATAAAGAATGTAATATTCTGATAAAAAATTGGATGCATTAAGTTGCAATAAGGGTAAATTATTGAAAGGTTTGATAAAAATTATAGCATGAAAGATATCTTAAAAAGTATGGTAATGTGTAAGGTCTTTGATGATAAGAAAGTACTATAGTAATATTCCTATAAAAAGTATGAAAGGTTTAATAGTATGGTGAGTATGCCAGTATAATGTAAGGTTTGGCTGATAAATATGATAGCAGTATGAAAGGTTTCGTTAAAAAAGTAGTATTATGTAATAGTTACTTCATGAAAGAGGTAATATAAAAGATTTTATTGAAAAAATGGCTGATAATAAATGGTATTATTGTGAAGGGTTTCCATTACATAGAATGGCTGATGAAAATAGTAGCTTGAAAGGTTTCGTTGATTAGAGTGGTAGTGTCATGAAAGTTTTTGATGATAAAATTCGGAGTATTATGAAAGGTTTAATTTGCAAAAATGGTAGCATTATGAAAAGTTTAGTTCATAGAAACTGCGGTGTGAGAGGTTTTATGGTAAACATGGTAGCATTATGATTTTTTTCCTAATAATAAGGGTAACGTATTAAAAGGTCTTGTTGATATAAAGGTAACATTTACAATAAGTTTACAAAATCGTAATACTATGAATGATTTCTTTAATATAAACGGGATCATTAGGAAAGGTTTCACATTGATAAAAATGATAGTGTTAAATTAAGCTTGGTCGATAGAAGAGACGGCATGAAAGTTTTCGTTCATATGAATATATGAATTGAAAAGGTTAAGCGAGGAAAATGGTATAAAGAAATGTAACATTATGGAAAGTGTAAATAACATAAGCAAAATAGTATTATTAAAGGTTTGGTTGCTGGAAAAGATGAAAAGTTTGGTTAGTGTAAATGGTAGTACGACGAAAGATTTTGATGGTAAATATGGTATCATGAAAGGTTTCGTTTATGAAATAGGATCTTAAGATATATTTGGTAACGGAAATGTGAAATATTTGGTTGATAAAAAGGGTATTATGAAGGGTTTTGATGAATGAAAGGGTAACTTTGTGAAAAGTTTCGTTGATAAAAATGTATTGTGAAAAAAAAAATTGCTGATAAAATTGTATAGTATTATAAAGGGTTTTGTTGACAAATATGATGGCTTTGATAAAAAAAGGTTAGTTTTATAAAAGATCTCGGTAACAAAAAACATTGGTTTATGAAAGGTTTGGGTAATACAAATGGCAACAGGAAAGGTTTCTTGATAACCATGGTAACATTATGAAAGCTTTCCTTAATAAGAAGGGTAACCGTATTAAAGATAATTACTTTGATAATATGTATGGTAGAATGATTAATGGTTTCACTAATGAAAATGGTATGAAAGATTTTGATGATGAAAATGCTAGCATGAATGGTTTCGTTTATACTGTGGGATCTGAAGAAATAATTAGATGGTGCAAATGGTAGTATTGTGAAAGGTTTGATTGATAAAAACCTGATTTTCGCTGCTAAAACTAGTGGTATTTTGAAGATAATCGTGAACAAAATTCACACCATTATGAATGGTTTTGCTGACTAAAATGGCTGCTTTATGAAACTTTTTTAATGAAAAGTTTCGATCATGAAGGTGCTATTATAATTTTATTGTTGATGAAAATAGTTGCATTAAAAATGGTAAAATAATGAAAGGTTTAGGTGATAAAAGTTATTGCATGAAAGGTGTAATAATAAACATGGTAATGGAAAAAAAACATTTATGATAAAAACAGTACTATTGTGATTTTCCTACAAACAAGTATGAAAGGTTTAGTTTATAAGTATGCCCGTATTGTGTAAGATTTGACTGATGAAAATGGGAGCGATGTGAGAGGTTTCGATAATAAAAATGGTAGCAATGTGCAATATGAAGGAGGTGGTTCATAGAAATTGCAGCACGAAAAGTTTGTGGTAAACTTTGCAGCATTATGAAAGGTTTCCTTAATAATAAGGGTAACACATTAAGAGGTCTCGTTGATATAGAGGTAGCATAAAAAAGTTGATGTTGATAAAATGGTAATTATTTTCTTAGTTTTTTTTTCGATACAAGAGACAGCATGAAAGCTTTTGTTCATATGGATATAAATATTTTGAAAGGGTTCGTTAATGAAAATGGTATGAAAGGTTTGCCAATAAAGAGGATAGATAAACTAATCAGAAGAGAATCATTTGTTGCAGAAAACGATAGCATGAAAAGTTTTATTAATATAAATGGTAAAATTACGTTTTCATGGTAAATATGGTGGCATGAAAGGTTTCTTTTATAAAAAATATCTACAGGCATCTTAAAGTATATTTGATAACGAAAATGGTAATGTTATGAAACGTTTATTTGCTAAAAAGGGTATTATGAAGGGTTTTAATGATAAGAAATGGTAACTTTATGAAAGGTTTCGTTGATGAAAAGAGGGTATCATGAAAAGTTTTGCTGTTAAAAAATGATAAATGGGTTTGGTTCATAGAAATGGTAGCATGAAAGGTTTTTTGATAACCATGGTAATGTTATAAAAATTTTCCTTAATAAAAAGGGTAACATTATGAAAGATCTTGATGATACTGATGATTACTTTAATAATAGTTATGGTAAAAATATGAATGTTACGCTAATAGAAATGGTAAGTGGTGTGTGTGTGTGTGTGTGTGTGTGTGTGTGTGTGTGTGTGTGTGTGTGTGTGTGTGTGTGTGTGTGTGTGTGTGTGTGTGTGTGTGTGTGTGTGTGTGTGTAAATATAAAATTTTCATAAGATAAAAATTAGTGTTTGATTAATAGAAAGGGTAAAATTAGAATGATTTTTTTTTCAGTGACGCAATTCGTAGTAGTATGAAAGTAATATAAGGAAAGGTTTACTTGATTAAAATGGTAATATTATAAAAGGTTTGGTAGATGAAAATGCTAGCATTATGAAAAGTTTTGATAAAAATAGTAGCATGAACGGTTTTGGTTTCTAAAAATGTTAACATTACGAAAGGTCTCGACGATAAAAATGGTAGTATTGTGAAATGTGATAGTACTACGAAAGGTTTGGTTGATAAAACACGGCAATATTATGATTTTATTATTCTATAACAAATTTAGTATCAAGGAGGCTGATCAAAATGGGATGGAAGTTTTATGAATGGTTTTACTGATAAGATTCGTACCATTATGAAGAGCTTCGTTGATAAGATTTCATTGCGAAAAATGGTTACATTATTAAAAAGTTTTGTTAATAAAAATGGTTGTATTATGAAAAGTTTGGTTTCTAAAAGAGACGGTATGAGTTTTCGTTGATATAAGTGTTAGTATTATAAAAGGTTTCGCTGCTGAAAGTGGTGTGAAAGGTTTTGATAATAAGAATAGTAGCATGAAAAGTTTTGGTTATTATAAGGTATCTTAAGGAGTAATTTGTTAACGAAAATGATAGTATCATGATAGCTTTGGCTGATAAAAATGGTAACATGGAAGGTTCTATTGATTAAAAATGGCACCATGAAAGAGTTGGATGATGAGATATGGTAGTATTATAACAGGAATGGTAGCAATGAAGATTCATTCATGAAAATGATGCGATTGCAAAAGGTTTCGTTTATATAAATGGCAGTATTATGAAAGGTTTTGATGATAAAATTCATTCTATTTTGAAAGGTTTCGTAAGAATCATGAAAGGTTTGGTTGATGAATATGAAAGTTTTCTGAAAGGTTTCGATGATGAAAGTTAATAAGGTTTGGTTGATGAAAGCAAGAGCATGAAAGAATTAACCGATATAAATGGTAATATACGATTTTTTTCCTGATAAAATGTATGGAAAGTTTGCTTGGTAAAAATGGCAGCATTATGAAAGGTTTCATTAACAAAAACAAATCACAAAGAAAGGTTTGTAAAACTGGTAATAAAAAAAAAAAAAAAAAAGAGAGAAGAGGGTTTCATTGATAAGCTTTCGTTTATAAGGTATCTTACGAAATAATCTGTAGTAGTATGAAAGCTTTGATTGATAAGGATAGTAAGATGAAAGGTATTATTGATGAAAATGGTAACATTATGAAAGGCATTACTGATACAGATTACAGCATGAAAAGTTTGATGCAAATAGTATGAAAAGTTTGGTTGATAAAATATGTTAGTATCATGAAAGGTTTCCATTAAAAGAATATTAAGAAAGGTCGATGGAAATGGTAGTATGAAGAGATTCATTATCAAAAATGATAAACGTTTAGTTGATAAAAATGGCAATTTTATGAAAGTTTTTGCTGATAGATAAACACTATAGTGGGTTAAGCTGACAAAAAACAATAACATGGAAGGCTTGATAAGATAAAACAATAGAAATATGACAAGTTTGATTGGTAACATTATGGAAGTTTTCGATAATGGAAAACAGTATTATGCAAAATTTGGCTGATGAAAGAGTTTTTCTGATAGAAATGCTAGCGTTATGAAAGGTGTAAGAAAATATTATTACGCACAAGAAAGGTTGATCATATTGGTAGGATCTGAGGTTTGATTCATGAAAATGGTGAACTTGAAAGGTGTAAGTAACAACAATAGTATTACGCATAAGAAAGGTTGATCATAATGGAAGGGTATATTCATAAAAATGGTGAAATTATGAAAAGTTTCGTTCACAAAAATAGAAGTAGAATGAAAGTTTTCAGTGATGCAATTCATAGTGGTATGAAAGATTTCATTAAGAAAGGTAGTTATATAAGGAAAGGTTTGGTTGATTGAAATGGTAATATTATGTAAGGTTTGGTAGATGTAAATGCTAGCATTATGAAAGGTTTTGATAAAAATAGTAGCATGAACAGTTTTGGTTTCTAAAAATGGTAACATTAAGAAAGGTCTCGATGATAAAAGTGGTAGTATTGTGAAATGTTTGGTTGATGAAAGAAGTAGCACTATGGCAGTGATAGTACTATGGAAGGTTTGGTTGATAAAACACGGTAATATTATGAATATACTATTCTATAACAAATTTAGTATTAAGAAGGCTGATTAAGCAGCATGGATTTCATTAAAAGGGATGGTAATTTTATGAATGGTTTTACTGGTGTCATTGCGGAAAATGGTTACATTATTAAAAGTTTTATTAATAATAATGGTAGTAAATCAAAGGTTTGGTTTCTAAAAAAAGACGGAATGAGTATGAATGAATGTGTTAGTATTATGAAAACTTTCGCTGATGAAAGTGGTGGGAAAGGTTTTGATAATAAGAACAGTAGCATGAAAGGTTTTCGTTATTATAAGGTATCTTAAGGAGTAATTTGATAACGAAAATGGTAGTAATATGATAGCTTTGGCTGATAAAAATGCTAGCGTGGAAAGTTCTATTGATGAGAGTAGTAGTACATAGAAAAACTTTACTGATAAAAAGGGGCACCATGAAAGATTTGGATGATGAGATATGTTAGTATTAAAGGTTTCTATAATAGGAATGGTAGCAATGAAGGTTTCATTCATGAGAATGATAAGGTTGCAAAAGGTTTCGTTTATAGGAATGGTAGTACTATGAAAGGTTTTGATGATAAAGGTCTCGTAAGAATCATAAAAGATTTGGTTGATAAATATGGAAGTTTTCTGAAAGGTTTTGATGATGAAGATAATATTTACAAGGTTTAGTTGATGAAAGCAGTAGCATGAAAGAATTAACAGATATAAATGGTTGTATATGAGAGTTTTTTTATGAAAAAGTATGGAAAGTTTGCTTGATAAAAATGGTAGCTTTATGAAAGGTTAAAAAAATCACAAAGAAAGGTTCGTGAAACAGTTAGTAAAAGAAATAAAAAGAAGATAAAATTCACAGTAATATGAAAGGTATCGTTTAGTAAAATGGAAGTATTATGAAAGGCTTGACTGATTAAAATGGTAGCATTATGAAAGGTTTCGTTGAAACAATGGTAGTATTATCAGAGTTTTGTTGATAAAAGTGTAGCATTATGAAGATTTTGATTGATAAAAATGGAATCGCAACAGTTAAAGCGATAAAAACGTAGCATTAGTAAAGCTTGGTTAATCTAAAAGGTTTCTCGATAAACATGGTAATATTATGAGAGATTTATTTGATTTAAAAGGCAGTATTTTATAAAGACGGTAGCATATAGGGAAAAATAACGAAAGATTTTTATAGCCAAAAATAGTAATAATAAGCAAGCTTTGGTTGAGGTATATGGTAGTATCATGAAAGATTTCGATAAAAATGGCAGAATTAAAGGTTTAATTGATAAAGATGATAACATTATGAAAGATTTTATTACAACTGGTAGCATTGTTAGAATTTTATTGATGAAAAATGGCAAAAAGAAATATTTTGATAATACACATGGTAGTAGTATAAAAGTTTGGTTGATATAATTGGTTGGTATAATTGGAAATTTTGGTTTAAAATGGTATAAAAGGTATGGTTAATGGATGCTATAGTATTGTTAATATTATGAAGGATTAACTAGTAAAAAAGGTAACATGGAAGGTTTGTTTGCTAGATCGGTAATTTTAAGAAAGGTTTTAATGAAAGAAATCGCATATTAAAAGGTTTTGTTAATAAGAATAGTATGAAAGGTTTGGCTGGAAAAAGTGTGGTATGGAGAAATCTTTGAAGAATGAAAATAGTGGTAGTACGAAAGTTTTCGGTAATTAAAATGGTAGTATTATGAAATTCTTTGTTGATAAGAATGGTAGCATGAAAGGTTTCGTTAATAAATGTGGTAGCATGACCATTTCTTGATTAGAGATGGTAGTTTTTATGAAAGGTCTGGCTTATAAGATGGTAGCATTATGCAAGGTTTCATAATATAAATGGTAATTGTAAATTACATGGTTAACAGAAATGGTAGAAAAAACACCCCCAAAATATAGCATTATAAAAGGCTACAATAATAATAATATGAAGGTTGCTAAATTCGGTAGATGAAAATAGTGGTATTATAAAAGGTGTTATGACTGGTATGAAAGGTTTGGTTAATGGAGATCGTAATATTAAGAAAAGTGTTGATAACAAAGATAGTATTATGTTTGGTGTTCAATATAAAAGCATAAAAAATTGATAATAGAAATATCGTTTATGAAAATCGTAATATTATAAAGGTTTTTGATGACAAGAAGGTTGGTTATTAAAGAGTTTGATGATAATGGTAGCATTAACTTACGAGAGGTGTTCGTGATTAAAATGAGAGCAATATGAAATGTTTCGTTAATGACAATGGTAGTATTATGAAAGATTTTGTTGATGAAAATGGCAGTATTATGAAAAATTTGCTTGATAAAAATGGTAGCTTTATGAAAGGTTGCCAGAAAGAAAATGGTATTATTATGAAAGGTATGGTGGATTGGCTGATGAAAATAATGGTATTCTGAAAGTTTTGAAATATGGGTATTATAAGGTGTTTGGTTTATACATAAAAAATAAAATAGGTAGAATGGTTTCGGTGATAAAGATAAAGGTTAAGATGATAGAAATGGTAATAATATGAATGTTTTAGTTGATAATGGTAGCATTGTGAAAGGTTTGGTCGACAAAGATGTTAGTATTATGGAAGCATTGGTTGATCAAAAATGACAGCATTATCAAATGTTTTGGTAATGACATTGGTAGTATTATGTAAGGTTTCACTGATAAAAATGGTAGCGTTATGAAATGTGTCGATGAGAATAATGCTGAATCTATTATGTATTTTCGTGATAAAAATGGTATAATTATAAAAGTCTTGGATAGTAAAATGAAGAATTAGTCTTTGGCTGCATGTTATAAAGATCACATAAAGAGTATTTATCTTGTTGAATATCATTAAGGGAAAATGAAAAACTAGTCCTAAGCTAAGTAATGTTCAAGTAAAATGATAAACAAGTCCCACGCAATATTACTTATGTGAAAGGGTTGTTATAGTCCTGTAATGAAAACCATTAAGGTAAATAAGTGTTTCGTCCGGCGTAGTATTATTACAGTAAAATGAGTTTGTTCCATGCTGAGTATTATTAAGGCAAGGTAATGAGTTAGTCTCAGGTTGTGTATTACTAAGGAAAATAAAAGTCCCGACTGTATGTATTATCAAGGTAAATAAGGAGATAATCTACCAGGTTTGAGTAGTGCGAAGGTAAAATTGAGTATATTTCGGGACTGTGTTTTGGCTGCGGTGGAATTAGGCTCAGGAAAAAAAAGATAAATGGTTGACAATTATGGTAGAAACAGAAAAAAATGATAATCGGTTGACAATCAAGGTAGAAACAGAAAAAAACGGATAAATGGTTGACAATTATGGTTGAAACAGAACAAAAAGGATAAATGATTGACAATTATGAGAGAAACAATAGTAAAAATAGCAATAACCAGTGTGATAACTGTATAAGAGGACTTTAGGGTAATTTCTGAATTAGTGATAAAAAAAACAAATCAAAACAAAAATTAAAAGTCCAATTTATGACCCAAGTTACAAGAAGAAAAAGTGTGAAAGTGAGTATAGATGTTCTCATGAATTTAATGAATCGTAAATTTGATTAATTTCATGAGATAGTATCATCGACTTTTTCCATGGGAAACTTTGAATTATATCCTCCGTTAATGGCGGAATGAACGAAAGTTTTCGGTATGCTGAAAAAAAAATATATATATATAGGGTCAAATGTATTGAAAAACTACGATTAGTGAAGAAAGTGTTATGGTAAAAAAAAAAAAAAAAAAATAGTGTGTGGGTAGGATTTGTTAGATATAAGTAGATATATGAGTACATATATGATAGAAACATTAATATATATATATATATATATATATATATATATATATATATATATATATATATA